CTGAATTTATTCTATTATAATTATTAAAACACAAGTATACGATATACACAAATATGAATAGTTTGACATCATCATGATGATTATATATATCATGTATAAGCACCAGCTAAGGACAGCAAAACTTATTGGCATTGACTGATCAAGCTTTCACTCTCAGTTCAACCTTTTACATATAAAACTTATTGGTGTTGATTGAATTCTCTATTTTGCCAAATTTTCTTTGCGGGTACCCTGTGTGTCTGTATGTCTTTTCCCTCCAGTATCTCAAGAACTGCTGGTCAGATTTCAATGAAACTTGGTAAATAGATTGCTTTGGTATAATGTACATCCCTGTTTAGTTATGGGTGAAAATCAGTGAATATTAATTACCAAATTTGCATAATATTTAGTCAGTTTTTGGCTTTTCCATCATTATCTTAACTACTGTAAAGGGGGTAATTATTCACTGGGTTTTAATTTAGCTTTTTTCGCTGACTGGAAAAATGCGCTGAATTAAAACACAGTGAATATGTAAAATTTAGCATAAACACATTATCTAAATGACGAAACCGTGAATTTAAAACCCACTGAATATGCCGAAATGGTAAATCAGTGAAATTTAAACCCAGTGAAAATTAGTCATTTTACAGTACTAAATTTCAAGCTTTCAATGAAACTTAGTACATAGATGACAGGACAAATCACAGACTAGATAGATTTTGAGTCGTGATCCGTGTATATTAATAACTTAATTTGCATAATTAGCCAATTTCTGGCTTTTCCGCTGATTATCTGATATTCCTATGAAATTTAAGTGCTCTAGAACAATGCACAGACCTGCTCAATTTGGGGTTAAAATCTGTTCTTATCAATTACCTGATTTGCATAATAATTAGGCACTTTTCCAGCTTTTCGATCAATATTTCAAGTACTTATCTTCTTATTTCAAAGAATCTTGGTACATAAATAAGACAGTCTAATTAGTTTTAGTTTATATACATTTATAATAATAAACTAATTTGCATAATAATTACTCAGTTTGTTACCTGATTTGTTTTGGATTGAAATTCAAATTTCCCAATTTGCATAATATGCATAATCATCACATTTCATTGACATCTGGTTCATAAATGCTCTGGGTGATATACACAGGCATGATTAGTTTAATGTTGAGATTTCTGATATCTCAAAAAAATCAGATTTAAATCAAACTTGTGGTAGAGGTTCTGTGGAATAAATTAGACTGCAAATTACAGATGTGTTCTCAAATTTATATTCTGTAAAAATTATAAACCTCAATATTGTGGATCACATTGTTTTCAATTCCAATAGCAGACAAATATTAGTTGCCAAGCTTCATGTTGAAAAGCTAATCTTAAATTTTAAATTAATTCCAATACTCTCAGCACACAGTTCATTTCATTCTAAGAGTTCATTCTAAGCTTTCTTTGATTTTTCTTTCTGTTAAATTTTCAACCACATTTTTTTTTTTACCAAAACTTTCGCCACATTTTAAATGAATTTTTAAGAGGCGAGTTTTTTTCTCACAGAATCATTGTGATATAATGTATCTTCATGTATCAGTGATTATTAGTCCCCGTTCGGACGCAGTCCGAAAACGGGGACTTATGTTTTGCCCTGTGTGCGTCCGTCCGTCCGTGCGTCTGTGCGTCCGTGCGTCCGTGATCACCTGTATCTCGAACATGCATGGACCGATTAAGTTCAAACTTCACTCATACATCACACATTATATGGGACATATGCACATGCATTTTTTTCATGATCCGATTAACGATAGCCGAATAGCGGCCATTTTAAGGCCGAAAA